TCACTTTTTCACACAGGGCCATGTAGGTTTGGATTTTTTTTTCCCTTATAATAAAAACCTTCATTTAAAAACTGCATTATGTGTTTACTTGTGTTATCTTTGTCTGAAATATTTCAATTTGTTTGATGATCTGAAACATTTCAGTGTGACAAACATGCAAAAAAATAAGAAATCAGGAAGGGGGCAAACACTTTTTCACACCACTGTATATATTTTATTTGAAACAAATTAATATAATTTCACACTGAATACCTGAATTCCTGGGTTTGCTTTAATGCTTTATAACAGTGTTGATATTTTGATGGTTTTATGTTAAGGGGAATTTGAAGTAGGATTGTATTTCCATTTAACACTGTTAAAAGTAAAAAAATCTGTTTTTCACTTTGTTGACAGAAAGCATGAAAGGGAAATTGTTCTATAATTTTTTCAAAGTCTGAAAAATGCTCAGAGAAAGTTGGTAATGAGACTGAAGCAACTAGAAGGGGAATTTTAGAAAAGTAAATATCAGTGAACAAACTCCTGTGGAATTGCAGCAAAAGCTGAACAAATAAAGCATGGCTTCTTTATTTGAATTCATTTATCCTTCAAGAAAGTTAGGGCTTCATATGTAACCAGTTACAAATATAGAACCTAATTCCCTTTCTGTTTTTCTTGCTACATGAACAGCAGTGCAAATTAATGTGTTCAGAAGAATGGGTTATTCAATTGCCTGGTACCTCCTAGTTTCTGACAGTGCTGTGACCTCTAGCTTTAGTACTGTAAATGTCTGTTTTTTCACTAAGAATTTTAATTTGCTTGTGCTAACAATATCTAAATCCACAGTAACACAACCAATGAAACACGATACATTCATTAGTATCAAGAATATTTCACTGGCAGTTTGGCTACTATTTTTCCTTATTAACACTACCGTTTTTTTTTTTGCAAAAGCATTCAAATACTTCCTGTGGTGTTCCATTTTGTGAAATGACAAAATTATGCATGCACATTGATTAAACTTACAGTAATATTTTATTCAAATCCTGAATGCAGTAACTGTATAAGTTGCTGAAACTGACAGCAAAAATATGTTGATTGCAGGGAAGCACAGTGGTACCTAGATTAGCTTTGTAGTGCTGAGGTCCTGGGATGCTATATACTGTACGTGGAGTTTAAATGTTCTCTCCCTGTTCACATGGGCTTCCCTGGGTGCTCAGATTTTCTTCCACAGTCCAAATACATGCTGCTACTGTAGGTTAATTGGCGTCTGGGAAAACTTACTCTCTGGCTCCCCTGTGACCCTATATTGCATAAAACCATTACAAAATAGATGTTGGTTGCATAAGTTTTCAAATCCATTAACTCAATATTGGATTTAAGCACCCAATAAGCAGGAATTACAGTCACAAGTCTTTTTTGACTAAAACTTTATCAACTCTGCAAACAAGTTTGGTGCAGTTCTTGTCCATTCTTCTTGGAAGATTTGCTCAAACTTTCTCATGTTGCTTGAGGATCATCTACGCCCAAGTCTTTTCACATATTCTTAACAGAATTTAAGTCAGGACTTTTGCCACTGTAGGTCATTTATTGCCTTATTTTTAAGCCACTTCAGTGTAGCTTTGGCCTGGTGCTTTGGGTCATTGTCCTCCTGAAAGGTGAATTTTTCTTCCTGTTTTACAGTATGTCTGAAGTAGTATCTGCCAGTATTTTTCTCCATCTAGACAAGCTTTAAATTCTTGTTCATAAGAAACACTACTATTAACACGATGCTGACAACAATGTGCTTGACAGTAGGGATGGGGTTTACTGAGTGATGGACTATGTTGGGTCTGTGTAAATGCAATGCTTTGTTTTACAAGGTAACAATTTTGAATTGTCTAAACACAAAACCTTTAGCCATATTTGCAGTATCACTTAGGTACTTTTGTACAAATCTTTTTATGATTTGAGTTCACAGAAATATTCAGTGTTTTTTAAATGTTTTATGCTCTTTTCTGATGTGTGCCTTTATCCCTGAGCTGTTTTAAAAGTGTCTAGGTCTTCATGATTGAATCTTTGCTTGAAATTAAGATAGGCTTATTTATTCTCAAATCATATGGACAGACAGAGACAGAGGCCAGACAGACAGAGGGCACCCAACTAATTATGTGACTTATTTTCATTATATTTTCTTATTATGTGGTAATTTGGGGCACTTAAATTGTTTTAGGTTCACCAGAGTAAACGGTTTGAATACTTAATAACCCGATCATCGAATTGTCATAACTGTAAGTGTCAAAGCAAAAAAACGTGAAAACTGTGCTAGAGTCTGGAAACTTTTGCCATGCACTTCACTTTCAACTCATTGGCAGTAAATGGGATGGGATACCACTTGTTGGACTTTCTCTGTGTGTAAGATTTGCTCTCTGTGAAGGATTGTCTTGTGTGAAGGACATGCTGTATAGACACCTGTTATTTTTCACAAAGAATCTGACAAATAGGCTGAGCATGAATGCTCTTGTCTCACATACAGCATATAGAAGTCTGTAAGAAGGATCAAAAGGTGAACTCTAAGTATATTGATTCTAGAGTACCAGCTTTTCCAATGCCATTTAGGATACAAATAGATGATTTAAAAATATAAAAGATGCTGGTGAATAACAGTGAGCAGATCAGACAGAAAGAAAATCACTCTGTCAGTCTGATCTCCGTGAGGTCCCCTTTTTTTTCAAAATAAAGCTCTTTTCAAATCTTCACTGAACTACACTGGACTCTTTGTATCTCAACGTACTAATGTGTTCAAGTATACAGTATGCTTTTTGACTGTTTTGTTTGAACGGTACTGTGTAAAATGAAAATGCCATGACAGTCTCTGTTTGTTCCTCCTTATTGAAGACCTCCATGGCTTCATTGATTACCCTTTGTTAAGGCTAGAAAGGCCTAATAGTTATATTACTATAGGCTTAGTATTTTTAAGGGGAATATCTTTTTTATAATATCTTCCCATGATTAATAGTTTCTATTTTTTCTTCTTTTATCTGTCTCTTCCTGTTTCTGCATTGTAGCCAAGTGATTTAAGGAAGCACAGAAGAAAGGTACCATTTTTAAATTTACAATTCAATTGTACACTTTCATGTATTCAGATATATTGATATCATAAATATAGCATTTTACTTCTGTACTATATATAGCTAATATATATTTCCTTTGCAATTCAAAAATAGCAGGTTCATTTTAACTAGTATTTTATCTAATGAGAAATCTGAGTGATGGCTAGTTTTTTACATATATTACTTTAGTTAAAATATATAATATTAAATAACATTATTTATGGCCTTCCATTTACTGTATATGTGTTTGCAGCTGTGAGTTATACCTTCCTAGAGTCTTTACTACTTCTTACTACCAGAATGTTTTTTGAAAGTATGAAAATTCTTGCTGCTTTATTGACTGTCTTGGCACCTCAGACCTGGTTTTCATAGTGATTTGACCAAAACATCTTGAATCATCTGGTAACATTTTTACTATAAACTAGATTCATGAATGTTCACCCTCTTAACCATTTATTTTAATTTATGACTTGTGTTCTTCATTATTTTTACCCTTTTCACCTCTTCAATGTCTAATGACATACAATACCAGGCTGCAAAACAATATGTCTTTTGAAGGCCAGGTTAAAAGAAATTGAAGAAATATGGAAACTGCTCAGACACTACACTCTATGTTATAACTAACTGTAGCTGAAAAGTTGATCAACACATTTGTCTTCTCCCGAATTGACTATTGTAATGCTATACTCGCTGGGCTATTTAAATCCACACTGAACAAACTGCAGTATGTCCCAAATTCGGCAGCCAGAATCCTGACCAGGTCTAGTGCAAGTGATCACATTACACCTATCCTGGAGTCCTTGCACTGGCTTCCTGTCAGGTTTCTACCTCATGCTCACCTATGAGGCTCTGCATGGCTTGACACCTCAGCACCTGTCTGAGCTATGATTATCCTAATCCCCACCTCACAACCTTCGCTCTTCTAATTCTGGTCTCCTAACTGTCTTCCAAGCCCGTCTACATTCTATGGGTGACAGGGCCTTCTCCTGTTATGCCCCTAACCTCTGGAACTCTCTCCCCAAGGATATCAGAGAGTCACGTTCTCTAAACTCCTTCAAATCCAGATTCAAAACCTTCTTCTTTAGAACAGCCTTTACTTAACTGGTTCTGTTCTTTACCCCTCTGCTCCTACTGTATTTAGTACCACCATCTACTGTCTCCTCTGTGTATTCTCATTGTGTTTATCTTGTGTAGTTTTTTTATTGTTGTTGTTGTCATTCTGTAAAGCGCTTTGAGAGGCCACCTTTAAAGGTGCTATATAAAATAAAGTTTATTATTATTATTATTATTATTATTATTATTTCAGAAGGGATTTAGCAAAACAAAAACCGTGTTTCATCCTTCAGATTGCAGCAGTTGATGAAGATGGTCGTGAAGACAAGGCTACTATAAAATGTGAAACTTCACCACCTCCCACACCCCGACAGGTGCGAATGACACACACTCTGCCATCATCTTACCACAATGACGCCAGAGGGTAAGGGGTTTAAAGAATCTTGCTTGTAACTACTTTGCATGTAGTGTTGCTTTGCTTTCTGTTAAAGGTCAAATTGCTACCCGATAGACATGTTTGAACACGAAAACTGGTATGTCAGTTTTCTCTTCTATTTTATATTCTGTATCGCTGTGTTGTTTGTGGAATTGAGGGATGGATAGATGGATCTATAAAGTTTCAAAGGGTAGAGTCTCACACTCCAAACTGAATACATCATTGTAAGGTAAGCATTACCTCAGTAACACTCTAGAGGTGTCACACTATTACTGACATGCACACAATACATGCCTGAGCAGCAGTAACATGGGCTACCATAATCATCTTACTGGAAACATGCATTCTGACAGATTTGTAAATATTGCAACTTTACTGTGAGAAAAAAACCCTTAGCACTTTACTGCTGAAAGATTTGTTTTCCCATCGAACACGTTTTGCACTAGTCTGAACTTTTTGTTTAGAAGTATTAGCTGATTACTAAAATTGTACGTACTGTAAGCAGCATGTTAACTGGTAAATATAAATCCAGTCATGTTGATATAAAGAATTAAGAACACTAACCGTCTTGATGAATTTGGAGGGAATGACACTACAACATTAAAAGTACAATTCCAAACTAATTGATTAATGTACCAAGTTATTTTCTTTTTGCTTGAATACAAAATAACAAGGTTTCAAAAGTATGCAGCTCCACGTTAAGTTGTGAATTTGTTTTCATTGGCTTTTAATAAGAGAACTAAGAAAATGCATTAAAGTGGTACAGTAGCTATTCAGTCATGCTCTGTTTTTACAGTTTATCAGCAACTTTGGAGGCAGAAACCGGTGCTCTCAGCAGTGTCACCAGCAGCCAGGATTCACTTCACAAAGCTCCAAAGAAAAAAGGAATCAAATCTTCAATAGGACGTTTGTTTGGAAAAAAGGAGAAGGGCAGGCTGGGACAGCTTGGCAAAGAGCTTGGGGGGCCAGGACAAGGTGGGTGTACCTACCTCGAAGAAATACATGCTTTTCATTTTGTTAATAACGGTTTTGAGGAGATATCTATTGAAAGCAAAGTGAATTTGAAATGATTAGTCACTTTCTTGATGTTAGTTTAAAGAATGAATAGGTTTACAGAAAAACCTGAAATATATTTCAAAGAATCAGCAAAAGTTGATCAATTACAAATGTGGTAGTAAAATACAAAGACCAACTGGTATGCCATACAACAACAACAAAAAACGAATTAAATAAAACAATTCAAAATTGGCAAAAATAATGCTAAAGCATACAAAAAAAATAAATTTAGTAAAACACATCCATCAAACAGAATTTACCCAATTAAAACAGAATTGGCTATAATTCATATTCTGTAAGGTGCCTCATCTCGTGTAATTTATTCCTCACCTTTACAAAGGCTAATGATTGTCCAGGGACCATTAAAGCCACTGAAAAGCTCCTGAGAACATAAGAATGGTTACAGATAAGGTCACTCAGCTCAACTTGCGCATCTGGTAGTTAGTGGTTAATTGATCTAAGGATCTGATCCAGACGTTTCTTAAAATAAACCAGGGTATCAACTTCAGCAACTTAGCTGGGTAGCTTGTTCCATACTTCCTTAACCCTTTAAGTAAAGAAGCGCCTTCTGTTCTCGGTTTTAAATGCACTTCCACATAGTTTCCACTTGTGCCCTCCCTAAATTAGTCCACATTTCTGAAGAATTTATAATAGTTTAAAGAATAGAGTAACAGAGTGGCTGTTTGTCACTGTGTCAGCACCATTTTTCACACTGCGAGACCAGTGCCTTGTGGCTTTTCTGTTACCAAATTTAGGATCATTGCAATTCTGGAATCAGACTGAATAATATCCCATGTTTCTGTCGTTACACAAATCTGGAGAGACTGTAGCGTGAAGACTGTGGACTGGATTTTCAGCTTCTCATTATACCTTATAATTCCTCCATTTGAGAGCTGTATCATAGACATAAATCAGTTAATCTCTGAGATTCTGAGTTGTTTCCCTCCCAGGAGAACACAGAGTACAGGAATATTTCTTTAGAACCAATTTTTCTCCACCTGACCATTACTCTGTTTAGGTTTCCAAAACCCTTTACTTGTGGATTCCTTAGCTCAGGTATCCCTATACCACCACGCTTTGGCATACCATGGCTTTGTCCTTCATGAGCTTTCTCCCTGAGTCAGCCCTTACTCTATCACATTAAACTAAATCTAAACACTCCTCCAGTTGATATAGAGAAATACTATGTTTCAAGTTCTGCTCTGGGATACGGAATGTTTGCTTCTCAGGCATGTCTCAGTATTCCTAGGTATTATAGGTACTATCCTTATTGACTTTGAAACACTATTGGTTGCACCAGAGCCTATTTAGATGTGTTATAGCATTGGTGGTGAATACATACTGTATGCAATCATTTATTTTCTTTTTTTGATTATTATTTCATTTAGGAGGATTTGTAGAGTTTGAGATTATAGTGTTTTGTATTGATCAGTGGCAAAACAAATATGATTATGATTGCATATTTTGACACATTAAAATATGGAAAAATCCAAAGGGAGGTGAATACGTTTTATAGCCAGTTTTAACTACAGCAGATAATGCTGCATTATCTGCACTTTCATATGGCTCTCTAGAATATATTTGCTGAATCACTCCCATCACAACTAATTAAAAAATAATTTTAAATACCCTACAATTTAAATTTGTCACGTTAAAGCAAACTATTTATATATGATATAGAAATGTGATGTCCAACATAGTTTTAAAAGGCGAATAATTGTGTGTAGTTTCTAATGGTAACAATGGAAATAGCAGTCTCCCAGCTCACAGCTAATGCATGACATTGTAGGTAACTCACTTAAAATACCATTTAAAAAAAGGAGGGGGTCATAATACTCATTTGTCTTATCTGGAGAAAGATACCGTAGGGTTTCTAACTGTAATCCATATATTACCTCTTATATCACAATCATGTCATTTTAAAATAGTCTTTTAGCTTTCAGAGATAGATAAGTTGGTGTTTTTGTAAGATAACATTTGAAATTGAATTTTCAATTGATGCACTCCATGAAAAAAAGGATGCAGCACAAATACTGTATAAACTATTTAAGATATACTGTAGGATAAGTGCAGGGTACATAACTTCACATGTAAAACAATTTGTATTTTTAGCTAGTTATTTTTCTTTATTTGATGAAAGATATACTATTAATAATAATCTACAGCAATGTAAAACATCATTTTTTAGACTGCTTTGTGACAAGCTGAGCCACAAATCTTAGCTGTATTCCTGTGTGAACTGAACAACAGGAAAGATTTACATTAAACCTGGCAGATAACCTTGATATATAAGATTCTTTAGGGGTGTTGCTCATTAACACTCTGCCATATAATCCCAGGATGCTATTGCTTCAACTCGAAGAGCTTCAGAAGAATGCTAATGCATTAATGTCAGTGTACGGATCTCTGATCCTTCAGTCCTGTGAAGAACACAATTATGCAAATAAAAAGAACATAAAGGAAGCCTGATGGATTTATATATAGACAATATGTGCTACAGTGCATGCTTGAATAAAATTTATAAACATATGTTAGGTAATGTATTATTTTCTCTAATTTTATTTCTAAAAACATCCACTTAGCCCAAACTAAAATAGTACTATCTTCTCTTGCTATTTGGTGTTTCAGTTTTCTAGTGGTTTACTTAAGATATTTTAGAATTTCTTAAACAGGCTTTCATTTCTATTGTAACATTAACATGTTTCTTTGAAGAAGGACGTTATCAGGATAAAATCAATTCTACTTTTATTTGGAATGGAGTAGCGTACTATACTATAATACTACGGTCAGTAACTGACTATAGTAATATAGTTTCTCCCCCCATTTGTCAAGAGACTGCAATTTGAATTTAAGTGGCTTTTTAAGACAAAAAACTTATAAGTTCAGACATTGCTGATTACATGATTACATGATTGATACTAAAGTAAATAAGTGTATTCAGAAACACATTAATAAGGCCTATTTTTATTCTTACAGTGGAAAAGTAGTTTGCAGGGAATCATTTCTAAATTTACCAAAATGACATATCTCTATATGCATACGTCTATGTGAAATTTAAATTTTTGCTATTTGCTCCTTTTTTTCTTGACAGGAAGTATGTCTGATTCAGAACTTGGTGGCCAGGATTCCCTTGGATTAGGAAAGCTTGGGACTCAAGCAGAAAAAGACAGAAGGTTAAAAAAGAAGTAAGTAGCTGGCATGTCTCCTGAAATATGTAATGATAACCATTAGGTTATAAAATGAAATGAAAACACAGGAAACATCTCTATTTCAGTACCTTATGGGTAGCTGGGTTCTTTTTCATTCTAAAAACTCTAATCACACAGAAAATGCTGTTTAATAGGAAGCCCTATACAGTACATACTACAGAAAATGTACAGTGTACCTGTATTTCGTAATACCATCCTGTTGATACTGTCGCATCCAAAATTTTGAAAATAACTGGGGGCCAATGTGAAGTTTATCGCTTTAAGGAAAGCAAAGATTGAGTAGCACTGACAATTTCTAAAACAAGAACATTAGGTTTTACATGAATACCTAAGATTTTGACAGACTTTTTCCTTTGCTAATTACATATGTGTTTTGTGTAGTGTAACCATTTTTTGGACTCTTGATAAACTCATTTAGAATTCTTCAGAATTTTGACCATCATGCATCTTGACATTTTGTCAGAGAATATGAAAATACCTCCCTGACATGTTAAGTGCCATCTCTGTGTTTTTGCTTGCCAAGTCCATGTGCAGTATTTCATTTATGAGTGACGACCTCTGGTTTTTACTTTTCTCTTTTTAACAAGTGACCTTTACAGCTTGCTTTGTTATACCTGGATTAAAGCACCCAATTCCTTTTGTTATCCAAAGGATGATACTCAGGAACAGCAAAACTCTTTTAAGATCTCCAATCTCAATTTTCTACTTTTTTTCATCCTGCATGGTATGCATTTCAAAGCACAAAAAACTAAGAATAAAATGTGTATTTATGTTTATTTCCCTGCTTATTTCCTATAGGTATAAGGTATCCCTTGCATCACTCTAACTTATAACAGCCTTGATTTCTGTGGACGCCAGCATTAATAATCTCTCTTTACAGTGCTGGGTTACGTGTGTGAATGTGTGCATGTTTGCCAGAGTGTTTCTATCTGGGATGCTGATACCAAACTAAGGCCCCCATCCCTCTTCCTACCTACTTTGCACCCTCTGAAGTGTTCTTGCAAAGTGCCCTTTGTACCCTCTGTCCGTGAATATCACCTGCCTGCTTTTGCTTCTGAGTGAGTGCTGACAGCATACATGTACATGCTCATTAATATTTGTGTGCTTTTGTTTCCCATCAATCTCTTCTCATCACATGAAAAAAAAGTACATCAGGGTAAGTTGCGATCACTGAGGCTGCTGGACATCTTCATTGTCGGCACTATGTTGTTCTCTGTCTGCTGTATGTGCTTGTCACCTTTTGTTTGTTTCCTTTATCTTTCTTTTTCTTTCAAGTTTGATGTCTGTCGTTACCAAAACGATGCAGGAGCAGCCGCCATATTTAATAACTGTTTATATTCCCCCCCCTCTTTCATTTAACTTACAGTGAATGGGTGTCATTTCTTCAGAGTTCTTACTCAGTAAAGGGTGCAAACATTGCTGGAGAAGGAAGCTTTGGATTCAGTTCTTGTTTTGATAGTTCAACCCCATCTAGGAGCCTGCCTTTCTTGAACAATGTCTCCCCTTTTTCAACGTGTGTGCTTTGTTTGGTTTTCTTAGAGTTCTTGTGTCTGTCACTGCTAAAGAAATAACCAGATGTCTGGTTATGGGCTGTTGGATCTTGTGACTGTTTACTTGTTATTGTCATAACTTTTGTTTTTCTTCCTTCCCCATTACAAATGAAATATTATTAGCTAAAGGACTCTTTCCAAGGCATACTGTATTAAATAATGTGAGAAGGCAGGTCTGACATTTGTATAGTAAGCTAAAATAATAATAGATAACTATTAAAAAATAAAAGTACATTGTGAAAGTCAAAGGTGAATTTGAAGGGTTTCCTGAAAATGTGGATTTTCTTGTCTGATATGTTCAAGTATTCATTGAAGCATTTCAAACAATACACCTTCCATCATTTTTAATATACTGTAAGACACTTAAGCTCTGTCATGCTTGTACTATATAAACAATATTTTTAGTGAGATTCATTGTCTCTAAAAACAGTGATATAGTGATATCTGTAACATAAATATGAAAAATGATAACACAAACTAGTAGTACATATAATTAATATAAATTATTGAACATATTTGATTATGGATATTTTTAATCTTCAAAACCTTCATTTTTTCTTATTGTCTTTTTCATATTCTAGAATTCTCTTCACAACTCAAACTATAAGGTTTGGGACAGCAATGTTAATTTAATATAAAATACAGAATATAGTACAGTATATTAAAACTTTTTTTATTGAATACACTATGTGCCAGGCTTAACTTTGTAACATAACTTAGTACATAACTTTGCTTATGTGATAACATAGAAAGATGTCTCTGCTCTGAAGTTCTACCCTTGTTAAAAGTGTCCTTAAGATCATAAACTAAAGCAGTATTTTATACATATACTGTACAGTATAGAATATTTTCAGGGCAATTGTTTAAAGCATATGTTTCCAACCCTGCTTCAGAAGAACCTCTGTCTACCAGGTTTTATAATTACAGTAACTATTAAACACTTTGGAAAATTTAACTGTGAATTGTTAAAATAATTATTATTTTAAAATGAGAAACCAAAAACCCTCTGTTTCTCAAGGAATGACATTGCCTTACTTGAACAATAATGTACAAATACTGTATACCTAATCTTAGAAAAGTGATTTGGGATGACCTGTTGTAATGACAAACTGAAATTGAGCTCTCCAGGGCCATGGTTAGAGACTCTCATTTAAAATATTCTGTCCTTTTCCTTTAAAATATAATTTAGAGAAACCTACAATATCTTATTTAATATGATAACATTTTAATTATTTTTTAACTTCATATACAGGTACATTTCTGTATTGCAAACTCAAGTTTAAGCATTCAAGCAATAAACTTGTCTTGTGTCCAAAATATATTTGATACATTAGAGAGTCATTGTTAATGTACTGTAATATGTATTGTATCATGAAGTCTGTACAGTTTTTCCTGTACAGTTTGTCCACATTATAGAAACCATTCGCTCAATGACAATTAAAGATTCGGGGTTAGAGAGTTTGGATACACAAATATGAAGGCATTGTTTCTATTGGTCATATTATACTGTAAGTTTGAATGTATTGCTTCGACTTAATATGTGAAAACAGTGAAAAAAACAGATATCATAAGGCATAATATGAATCACTATTTATATAGCGATGAGAAATTCTGCAGTGGAGGAGGGTGAGACAATGTTTTTCCTAAGAAACTTTTTTAACAATAAACACTAATAAGCCCATTAGTGCGAATCATATCATTGGTTCTTTTATTTCTCTTATATGGCTCTATAACATTACTTTTGTTTCCCAGACTAATAGCTGTCTTTTTCTTTTCACTTGCACCTCACGCACTAGTAGAATGCGTCATACCCTTGGCACTCATTGTAAGAACAACACTGACTGTATATCAGTGTTTTCAAAGAATACAAATATAGTAGCTGAGCACAGATACACAGCTGTGATGCATATGCAAGTTGGATGAAAACTGACACCAATGCATGGAGAGAATACGCCAGCATCCCAAGTGTGTGTTGCTACGCAGAGACTGCCAGGCAGCTGATTTTACTGTATACATGTCAATAGTTCCAGAATACTTGAGTCACGTTATAGCCAACATGCACCTGCATAATGGAAAATACATTCCCTAATAAATCAGTCTTGTGACAGCCAGTTTGCCTTATGGAAACTTGTGTTATAGTAGAATTAACTATACTCTCATTATCTGACAATCCTGAGGAATGTAGAATATGAGGTAGCGAATGGTCAGTTGACACATAAATCAGTTTCTGGTAAACAGTCTTCCTGCCAAGTGTTTTTTCAGTGTTCTGAACACTAGTTTTTTTCATGCCTTTTTATATATAGCCTGCTTAGATTATTTGTAGGGTTGCAATAGTAAGGCTGACCGTTTGCTCTTTTTGTAAAATAAGGGAAAATCCAATCTAATATTTTAAGCATGCCTTTATAGGAATGGTTCTTAAAACATGAGAAAACGTGTTGAATGATACATTTTCAACATTCAAGAAGAATGGAAGAAGACATTTATCTGTTTTCTCTGATGAAGTCCAATTTACTTTTCCATGAAGAGTCCAAAGCCTAATGCCTGTGCACCTAAAAAATATGATACTGTACTTCTCATTACTTGGAACACTTCATGTTTAATCACCTGGAACTATCCACTACCAATGTTAGTTACCGATTTCTGAATATTGTGGAAAATTGGAAGATAACAGTTTAAAAAAATCTGTACTGTACTGTGGAATGTCATTTTCATTAAAATAATATTTTTCAGTATTTTTAACTGTAGTCATAGAAAGAAAATGTCATCAGAGTTGATCAAATATTTAAACTTGTAATTATGTTGCCTCAGTAACAGGGCCATCAAAAAGAAAGCTTATTCCATGAAACATTTTATATTTTAAAAGCTATGAGTAAATACATATTTCACTACTTAAAATGATTTTGTAAACGTAAAAGGATACACATTACTACTGTATATAAAAGCTATAATTCAAACTAGAGGGCATTTTTAATTGTGTATTTCCCATTTTAATGCTAGAAGTGTGTAGTTCAAAATATGCAACAAATTTAGCCATATGACATACAGTACAGTATGTTGCTGGTGTTGAACTGCATCATCACTGTCTCCATAAAGTGATATTATATGTAGAATTGCAGGTGATTTCCATGTATGTACTTTAGAAAATAATAACATAACAATTATCAGTTGTCCCCTTCAAAGGTACTGTATTTTTTCTGTCCTGTCACAAGATAAAGATTAATGTCCTGCTTTCAGTTACAAGTTATGAACCATAAATGAAAAGCTGCAAATAATTTTTAATGCGTTTACATTCAGTGGTGTGGGGATCTTTATGAAAAGAGTGAAGAATCTGTTTTGCTCTACAGGCATGAACTTCTAGAGGAGGCCCGCAGGAAGGGTTTGCCCTTTGCACAGTGGGATGGTCCGACAGTTGTGGCTTGGCTGGAAGTAAGTGCTTGTGTGACAGACAACAGAAAAGAGACTGCATGACTTTGAGTAATTTAAACCTTAAGATGTCATGGGAGTCAAAGGGTATATTTTATTCTTTTTTAAAAAAACATTCAACTTTAAAAAGTTGTTTCATTGCTTTCCCTAAAACAAAATGAGCAATTTTGCATAAGCGAAATTTAACTCTCTCGTACAATATTACATTTCTATATTACATTTCTATCTTGAGTTCAATCTTATTATTTGTCACAGAGTTTTCCAAGGTAAATACCATCTCTCGTTTTGCTGAGAATGTTAAGGTCAGATGTGTTAATTCAAACCTATTCATGGACATTAATAGTTAAGAAGAATTGTGGAATGTCATTTTCATTAAAATAGTATTTTTCAGTATTTGAACTGTACTCATAGAAAGAAAATGTCCTCATAGTTGATAAAATATTTAAACTTGTAATTATGTTGCCTCAGTATCAGGGCCATCTGTGTGCTGCAATATCCAAAAAATGTATAATCAGCACAATGTTTTAATGTTAGTATTAATAAAAGTATTGACAGTTATGATGTAAATGGTCTGTCATCTAGAAAAACCATAAAAAATATGTTTAAAACATCCCACTGAAATGCATCTATACCGCTGTCTTTGAAAGAGTTCCACAAACATTTAATATTTGTATGTCTAGCATCTTTCACAAACAAGAAAAAGCATTAGATAGATATGTCCAAAGCACAATATTGTACTCTAGCAGTACACAGGACTGTGTATAGTCCCTGGGGCCCTTAAATGGACTAATCTCCTAGAAGTGTCCCTGATTAGAATGATGCACAAGGGCTGTCGAAATGTGTCATTGGGTCTTGTGGCAACTGTGTGTCTTAGTGATCAGAAGCAGACCCACAAGAAGTTTCCACCGATCAAACTGCCATCTTTCAGTCAATTAATAGCACCATCTGAAAGTCATGTATACAGAAAATCTTGATAATCAACAGAACAAATTAACAAATTTAGTCAAATACACTATACTGTATGAAATTAAGGTATAGTACATTTAGTGTGCAAAAAGCACCAAACAGGCTTACTAATTTTATAGAGAAAGAAATCTGTGTCTTTTTTAAATTTTACAGAAAGTCTACAATAAGGCATAAGTTTTATTTTTGTTTTCAAATGTAATTTTTAATGTATGCTTACCTCTTCAAAACTTGAAATGCTAGCATACCATCTAATGCAATGCTTGATAGCTACGCATGTTTTATAAAATAAATAGCTTAGCATCATGTTTTTCCTTTAAAATATGGCACATTGTACAGCTGCTGTTTGGCAGTTACAGAGCTGAGGCTGTGAATAAGACAGAGGAAGTGTTACAGAGCCCTGAGTTTAGCCAAACCAGCTGTACAACTGTTTCAGAAAACCTACAGCATCTTTTTTTTTGCCAAGCCAATTTTAATGCTAAACAAGACTGACACCTGGTGGTTTGTCTAGGGTGGTCAATGACTTTTTAAACTTTACTGGAATGCAATAGTCCTGCTTTATATATAATGAAAGGATAGTAGTGAAATTATGCCATTAAAACGACAAATGTGTCTGTTAGAATGATGAACTCACATTCATTTTAAATACAGTACACCACATATTAACACCATCTCCTATTTATTTTTCTGAAATTCTAAAACTACGTCACGGCATTCAAATGCATCTGGTCCTGTAGTTCGTTATTCATGTAAAATAGTCCTATCTTCATGACAAGAAAGTACAGATGTATGTGGTTTACAGGCATCAATGGATTTATTAAAGAGATTAATGTTCTAGGTTCTAGGATGCTGACATGAAATATTAGGATGAAATGAACATTGTATTGATTATAACCAGTTAATGAATTGTGAGAAGTCCATTTAATCTGTACAGCCTGTTGGATCTACTTATTATAAATGAAGGTGATTAAGCAAGTGAGAGAACTACACCAGAAACCTTTGTAAATGGAAAATTTGTGAATGGGGGACTTATATTTTATGGGTTATGGTTCACGAAACAAACATTTCTGTATTAATATTTTTGTTATAACTGTTAACTATTTTAGAAAACTGTTAGCTGAATAAACAGTTGAACTGAAAAGTGTTAACTGAATAAAACATACCCCATGCTGTACTTCTACATAAACATACTAAATGTTTGCTAAGCAAGCTATGCCTTTGCTACAGAGACCAATGCAGGCTGTGTGAAGCAGATCTATGTGATGAAGGTGTGCAAATGGGTGACTGCTGCATTTACAGTACACTCACGCTGAGTAGATCATGAATTTAATTTTGGTTCGCGAATGCAGAAAAAGGTGATCACAAAATAATTTTGTACCAAAAAGGCTAAAAAGTAAATATTGAACTTGTGAATATTGAAGTTTTACTGTACACTTAAAAAATAAAAATAATAATAATTGCTTACACTTATAAAGCACTTATCTGGACACTCCACAAAAAGCACTTTACAGGTAATGGGGACTCTCCTTCACCACCAACAATGTGCAGCCCCACCTGGATGACGTGACAGCAGCCATAGTGCGCCAGAAGGGTCACCACACATCAGCTATCAGTGGGGAGGAGAACAGAGTAATAAAGTCAATTCATAGATGGGGAATTATTAGAAAGCCATAATTGGTAAAGGCCAATGGGAAATTTGGCTGGGGTTATACTTCTTCTCTTTTCGAGAAACGCCCTGGGATTTTTAATGACCAAAGAGAGTCAGGTCCTCGGTTTTACGTCTCATCCGAAGGACGGCGCCTTTTTACAGTATAGTGTCCCCATCACTGTACTGGGGCATAAGGACCCACACATCGCCCCCTGCTGGCCCCACTAACACCTCTTCAGGCAGCAACCTAGGTTTTTCCCAGGAGGTCTCCCATCCAGGTACTGACCTTCTTAACTTCAGTTGGTTGCCAGTTGTGAGCTGCAGGGTGATATGGCTCCTGGCAATAGCTGAAAATATTCTGCACAGGATATTTTAAGTTGCATAATATCACACATTACTTTTTTGTATCATCTGCAAAGTGTGGATAAGAGCTTGAAGCTCATAAGACCTGAAATGTCTCTTGGTGCTACATGCATTATTCTATTTAAACTACACTACATTTATCAGATACTGTTCTACTTCATGCACTTACAGGTGAGTTCAATCTGCCATATGATCCCATCACTGTTCTTCTGCTAACTCCTGTTTTGCTTCTGGCTTGTGTGTCCAGCTCTGGCTCGGAATGCCAGCTTGGTACGTGGCAGCCTGCAGAGCCAACGTGAAGAGTGGTGCCATCATGTCCGCTCTATCTGACACTGAGATTCAGAGAGAGATTGGCATCAGCAACCCCCTCCACCGCCTCAAGCTGCGCCTGGCCATCCAGGAAATGGTGTCACTTACCAGCCCTTCGGCGCCACCCACCTCCAGAACAGTGAGTCACTCCTTAGCCTTTAAGTCAACATTAGGTGAAAGGTTTGGGTTTCTAACACAAGGTGATCAGTCGCTACACTCTAGTACAGTCCTTTGCAAATACTGTATGGGTTCTGATCGTGAAGTACTTACTGTAAGTGTTTGTTGGCAGCCGGGTTATGAATAAAGGCTCAGAATACTGGCATAGTCTCAGAGTAGAGAATTTGGTCAGAGATTCTCAGTGGACCTATGATTGCTGCAGTTTTAGTCTAAACCTTTAAATTGAATATCAGGTTATTTTAAGTTCAAAAATGAAAACTGGCTACTTAATTTGGAAGAGCTGTCCATGTGACCTCTAAAGAGTACAATGGAAAACCTATTTTTATCTCAAGAGTTAGATAACAATACAACTCTAAAAATTGTTTTTATCTTTGTGTTATTTTTTTTTCCAGTACACTCACAATGTATTACTGTTACCAGTATTCTTAATATCAGAATTAATTCATTCTTACTTAATATACTGCTGTTAATGTTCCTTTTGCTATTGTAAGGGTATCTTTGTGACAGCAGTTTAGGATTCCTGTTAACTTTTCGATGCTACTTCAGTAGTACACAGCAGTTTTAATTTAGAGAAAATTTTGTGTTTCATAACATAATATATTCTTGTTACACAAAAAGCTAAAAACTAAACTAGTACAATTAATTACTAGTAAAAAGGATGTTTAACATTTCTCATCCTGCATTGAATCAAGGTTAGAGTTAAACAATGTGACAAATATTTTTTTGTAATTCAAACAATCTCTTGTGTCACTGGTCATTCAGATACTATGCGATGTCTGTGCTGTTTGGGACCTAAAATAAGACATTTTATATGTATTTTAAAAAATAAAGTATGTTTTTCTTGCTATTTTTGTTTGAATTAACTGTGCTTACTTACTGTGTGGAAGGAACCAAGGACTTCCATAATGATAAAGAGATTAATTCAAACAATTTACACTGAGGATATTAGGGGTTGGGTGGCATAGTGGCACAGTAGTTAGAATTGCCGCCTCACATTGCTAGGGCCCTGGGTTCAGTTCCTGGGGTGCTCTATGTGTGGAGTTTGTATGTTCTCCCCAAGTTTGTGTAGGTTTCCACTGGGTGCTCCAGTTTCCTCCCACAGTCCAAATACATGATAGTAGGTTAACTGGGTTTGGGGAAAAAATTGGCCCCTGTGTGAGTGTTTGCATACTATACCTGTGTGTGCCCTGCAATGGACTGGCATCCCATCCAGGATGTATCCTGCCTTGTGCTCATTGCTTGCCAGGATAAGCTTTGGTTCCCCCACAACCCTGTATTGGATAAAAGAAACTGTTGATGAAGGTGTGTTGCAACCCTTGAGCCTCCTTCAGATCCAAACGTGAGGTTTTTCACATACTGTACTTATTTGAGTCAGTGTTAAGGCAGGTCATCAACATCATTCAGGAAAACAGGCAGTTAAAGAAGCTATAAATGGATTACTTCTCATTCCTCCATTTTCTGACAGGTATTTTGCTGTAAATTTAAGAAAAGCCAAACATCATCAATAAGCAATATTTGTGAGGGGTAGCTAAGACCACAAGGCATATTTGATATTTCATACTTTTATCATCTGGCAGCAGAGGAAGTTAGGCATGATGCATTAGAATTCTTCTAAGAGGACAAACACTTTATTGAAAATAGGCTTTGCTTTTTTATCTACAGTATGTAAGATAAGGATTAAGAAATTGGAAAATCCAAAAGAGAACCTCTTAAGATGTATTATACCAAACTGAAGCTGGTATTAAAGACACATCTTCTTCATCCTGTTGTTATCTTCTTGTGTCATATTACTTTAAGATCATTGAAAGGCAATGCTCGTGGTTTTCTAGTGTTGTCATGGAGATATTTATTACCTACAGGTGGCACTAAGTGCACTTTCAAGAGCAAAGGCAATTTCCCTACTGCCACTCCTTCCTATCTCTTAAAGAAGAATCTCAAAGAAGACTAACTAAAAGCTTAATTCTTTTTATACAACTAATTTTAGACTCACTCACATTTTGATGCTTTATTATTTTTGTAAAAATATATTCTACATGTTAAGATTAAATATTGAATATATATTGAAATAAAGGGGAGGTGAATAGTATATCATCCATCCAAACATTTTCTAAGTGCTTTATCCAATACAAGGCTACAGGGGAGCCTGAGCCTATCCCAATAAACAATGGGAGCAAGGCAGGCTACACCCTGGATGGAACACCAGTCCATTGCAGGGCACACAAAGACACAAACATGCACACACTCCCACCAGGGCTGGTTTTCCCAGAAGCTAATGAACATAATACCACTATATCTTTGGACTGTGGGAGGAAACCAGAACACCCAGAGAAAACCCACATGAACACGAGAAGAACATACAAAGTCCACACAGATTAGCACCCCGAGAAATCGAACCAAGAGCCTCAGCACTACTCACTTTGTCACTTTGCCACCCAATAGTATATCAAATAATCAGAATTAACCTTGATTTCCACAGAGTAGTAGAGTTTTAGAATCATTATATATAGTATATTGCAGTACACACTAGGCAGTGAAATCCCATAAAGAAATTCTCTTTTATTGTGAGGTTTGGTTTTTCAAAGTAAAGACATAGGTTCCACATTCTCTTCAGAACATAAAGCTTACATCAGGTCTTGGTGGGGCAGAAGATTTAATGTAGTTTGTGATCAAAAGTACAGTATAAGACTGCTATAGAGAACTTCAACACAAAAGATGATTTTTTTTTCTTTTGTTTCCCCTCCATATTCAGTACCTTTTATCTTTTTGTTAAATATTATTTCTGTTTGAACTACAAATGTGCATATTTTTCTTGTATAATTTATATTTACATTTACAATTACATTTTAAATTACTGTAAGGCAGGTAATCAGATGATGTTACAGTATTTCACTTGTGGGTTGGAGGTATAGTGTTCATCTGGATATTTTTGCCATGTTACCAGCAAAAACATAATAATTACACAAACTATTTGAAAAGCTGGTGTAAAAGCCTTTAATGTCAAGTCACAAAGTTTTTTATGCTAAAGGGTATTGTTCATGATTTATATAACTATTGAAAGATCACAATCCGTTGTGATGCTTCAGCTTCTGAGAAGAGCTTCATAAGAGAATATATCCGGCATATATTCAAAACAGATAATGTAGCTCAATTAAAATAATTGCTTATTTATCACCTTTCCCTGAACTTCTTTATTTATGGTTCTCCCATGAGGCGTCGGTGTCATTGATAATAACGTCCCTGCAAAGTCATTGCAGTTACCTCCAAATTAATTTTATTTTTTGTTAGCACAGCAAAAGTGAAATGTACTGAAGCAGCATAAACAGTATATATATATAATGCAAAAGGAGTTACTAATGTCCTATTATTATCATTGCCACTGATTTGCAATGCTTAGGTGCTTAGGTGTACATTTTGTGTTATTTTTAGAAATTCATGTCAACAAGTCTGTATTAAGAAGGGTTTAAAGTAAACTTGGTTTATTTCCATATTTTATTCTGCATTTTTGCAATAATTAATATTAAAAAATATATATTATAAAATGAATATGTAATGTATAGATATATACAATAGATGGAATTTTATGTTCCTGGTTTAAACTTTTTGTATTTTTTATTGCCAAAGGGGAAAAAAGGGAGCTGAATGTAATTTTTTTATCTGTGGTCTGAGGTTTACAATATGTGTGCATTTTAGTTTTTAAAAAACAAGGCTATATAAGGTCCTGTCAAAAAAAGATATTTCAGTTCTTCCATATTATATGGTAAAAAAATAAGTTATTTCTTTGGTAATTAATTTTGTTTTTTTTATTTTTGGGTTATTTCTATTTTTGAAGCAAATGACAATAGTTAATGGTTAACTGCTATTGATAAGATTCTGCTAAGTAAAATACTTGCCTTTCAGCAAGGTCTTCAAAAATATAAAATAAGCTTTTGGCTGATAATTTTCCGTTTGTGAAATAAAAGAAAAGTACTGTGCCACACTGTCAGACGTCCTTGGCTGAACATTAGCTTTTCTCACCTCTTGCTCAGTCGTGACCCCTTCTCGCTGTGATGAAGACATGGTGTTAAAGTGAGCTCTGCCAGTAATGATGTGACTTTTAGTACTGGCTGAGAGAGAGAGCAAATGAATATTTTAAAAGGGAGCAGTGGACTTTGTCAGTGCAATTCCAACACCATAAAACGCCCCACTGTGACGATCATCTGTCTCTTACCTCCATGTCTGGCTGCTGCCAAGTTTTGATTTGAACTCAATTGACCCTTTGGTCTCAGGGAAACTGCTTATGAGACAAAAAATGAACAGTGGACAAGGGGAGCTCTTTTCTTGTTCTCCACTGAGACTCATCGGCAGCCCATGCACCTGTGAACCTCCCCAAAAACAAAAGAAGAAACAAAATATGATCAAATGACATTCTTTTGTAACAGTCACTAAAGGGAACACACAGAAAAATATGTATGAATTTAATATATTTTTTTAAATCTACTTACCTATCTGCCATGCACACCTGTCTTTTTCCCTGTGAAAGTATGCTTCCAAAATGCTTTACATGCAACATGTAACAAAGCATTTAGTTTAATTTTTATTTTTTAAAATTAGATTGGTTTCTCAAATCACAACAGTATCACTACAGACTCTTACAAGCAATTACTTCTGATGTTATCAAAATCTGATTTTACTTCTGATTTTATCAAAATCTGCATGCATGCATTGATGATGTTTCAAAAGTGTGAGATTCAAAGGGTACAATCTATTCAATTAATGCCAGTTTTAGGACAGGAGTTAAAATATTGGGTCCTGGTTTCTCAAATCATAACCATATCAGTACAGACTCTTACAAGAAATTACTTCTGATGTCTAAAACAAATGTTGTATGTCTCTTTGCTTCAAGCCACAGTACTGAAAGCTATTGTTGCACATCAGATCTCAATAAAATAATATACTGACACTTGTACCATGGAGAAAGCACAGATTTCCTAATCCTCTAAAATCTTGTGTATTTGTCTGGAAGCTTTTATTAATAATTACTCACCTGTTTCTTCCTTGAGTTTTCTCAGTTCCTTTACTGTTCCTATGGATATGTGTCATGTGAAAAAACTGGCTAATTTTTATGTTTTAAATAATAGTTAAACTTAATATCATAGAACAGTATGTAAATGTCTAAATGTACATAACACATTAGTCAAGCATTGCCACTGAAATCTGTTCTTTAAAGTTGATTAACTTACATGTCCTATTAGGGCAAGAATGCTGAATTTGCTGACAGTGATGCTATAACACTGTTGGCTTACAGTGGTGCTGCCTTTCTTCTTTAACACTGCTTACCTCCTGTGGATTGCTGCTGTCTCTTGTGGGCTCTCCAACTAGCCTTCAGGCAATGTCTGGGTGACCCACGAGGAAATGGAAAACCTAACAGCTCCCACGAAAACGGTTAGTGAATTGTCATTCTACTCTCCCTGCTTTCATTGAGGTCTGGTATTGTTCCATCCTGCTCTGCATGCATTCTTTGTTACTGCTGGTGCTCTCCTGTGGTCATAATAAGTCAGTGTGTGAAATCCTGTCTTCTTCCATGATTCCTTCAGCATCACGACAAACATTTGGTGGGGGTGTGTTCAAAGTGATCCTAGTTTATAACCAATCACTGCATTTGGACACTTCTACCAAGTGCTAGTGAGAACATGAACCTTACAATTTTACAAACAGGTTACGTTTTCAAATTCAGCAATTATCATCATGCTCTTGTTCTTAGAGCCTCATTCACAAAAGGTTCCAATGTGATTATAAATGCGTAAATCAAAAATAAGGGCCTTGTTATGAAATATTGGAAACATTCATAAAAAAATCTATGACTATAAGGTGTACCTAAATAATGTGTGTGCACATTTGCATGGACAAAAGTTGGATCTACTGAGCTGATATCTCCTGTAAGAGACTGCCACACAGCACACATAGGAGACATTCTTTGTATGGGTTGTAATGGTTATTACCAGGCCTCTGCATACATCTTTTGCATATATTTACCTAATATTTTAGAATGAGGCCCTCAAAGTCTTAAATCTTAGAATGCACTTTAAAAGGTTAAGAAGCAATTACAGTAAACCCTTGGTTTAATGGATTTCACTTTAACAGACTTTGGATTAAATGGAAAAAATATGTTAAAGGGGAATTTTGTCTGTAAAATCAAAAATACCGGGCTTTACCCACAGTAATAGACACAGTAAAATGCAAAAATATTAAACAAAAAATGGCAGATTTTGTACAACATACCCTTAAATAGATCTAAAAGGCATGACTATTAATAGTTCCCTATAGGTTAGGGCAAATGGTACAGAGATAGGCACATACGATGGGTGTTGCTGTATAGTACAGTATATTTACTAAAGACACATTTACGAAATACAGTTTATATATTTATTATAAAATTAATTTTCATTGACTGTGTTAATTGCAATTGTTTAAAATATATCTAGTGCATATACAGTGTACATAGTATACAGTACATATATTCTGGACAATGTTTTTGTGCTGAAAAAAACATTATTCTTGAATTACTGTATAAGACATTTCTCCCCCCAGTTATTCTGTTAAACCAAAGATAAACATCTTTGAAAAATATATTAAGCATAGGTAATGTTTTACTCAAATCGTGTATGGATCAAGGATGTTCTTCCATTTAGCCTGTACAGAGTTTGCCCGAACAGTGGCATTATGTAGTTATGGTTCATGTTGGCATACATGCTCATTCAATTCGTTTTGAAAACTGTAAGACAGGCTTCAGATGTTGCATACAGGGATCATATTAATTCCAGATTGAAGCTGGAATTCTTAACTGATCCTCTGCCAAACAAAGACCAGTATTTTCATATTACATGTTGGGTTCTGTGTTGGTGTAGCTATTGTATGTGAGGCCATTGCAGTCTGCATGAGCTATGGAATAAAGTCTACCAGCATCTGGAATACTATAAGAGGAAAAGTATCCTGGGCTTGGTTTATTTCATAAAGCAAACACTGCAGTCAAAATGAGCAAAATTACATTGTATTCTTAAAAGCCATACATTGTATTCCTAATTTCAACAGCTGGTTATGTCTCCTGAGCTTCTTTATAATAGGACATTTATCCAGGTATACGTATATTGAGATAAGAAAACCTACAGTGTTGAGCCCATACACTGTACTTTTCAAATCAACAGGTAAGTGTTTCCCAAATACAAACTATAAAACATAGCTATGTCTTCAGAATCTATTGAAAACATTAAAATAGATAAGGGTGTGTTGTAAAGTGGCATGTTGGTGCAGTGATGTGCGTTGCTGCCTGGGGTGCTACCTGTGTGGAGTGTGTATGCTCTCCCTGTGTTCGCATGGGTTTCTTTCAGGTACTCTAGTTTCCTAACACAGTCCTAAGACATACTGGTACTGTAGGTTAATTGTCTCCAGGAGAATTGCCCTTAACGGTAGTGTGTTTCGTGTCTGTGTGAGACCGGTGTCCAGTCCAGGTTCAATCACCTTGTGCCATTGCTTGCCAGGATAGACTACATCACTTGTACAGTATGTAAAATTAATAATTTCTATTACAGTGTGAGTACAATGAGGTTATTTATTCCTCATTCATATTTCTAGACTGTTCAATACAAGCATTTCATGTTTTATGATATATACAGGAGCGTGATACTAATAACCTATCTTATTTTATTTTATTTTTTTTAAGTAGTAAGGGGTAAAAGGAAGAATGTATTGACATCATAAGCAGAATGAGAAATATAATTATACAAACTGATATTCTCAAAAACCTCTAGAATGCAAAGCAAATATGTTTCAGCCATGGTCCATCAATGGAGAGAATTCCATTGCTTTCTCGACAGTACTACAGAACAAAAATGAAAAAAATGAACCTATAATGTCTTTTCTATCAGTGCTGAAGTTCACAACACATTTTTGGTAATATATTAAACCAGAACATTAGTAATGGAGCTTTCAAAAGTGAATTGTCTAGTGATCACAAAAGGGGATGTTGTTTATTTAGAAATTAACCTTATAAATATCCATTGTGTTCCACAATGACTTTAGAAGTGCAGCAGAAAAAAGGGGATAATGCAAATCTTCATTAGACCAAGTGAGATAAAAAGTTAGATATTTGAAATAATGTTTTTTTTTTAATGAAATGCCATTTAAAATGAACTTCTGAAAATAAGGCTTCTGAAAAGATGCAGAAATATTAGGGTAATATTTGACTTCATGAGGTGATTCCATTAATTTGGAAAGTGACTGAGCTGATGGTAGTTATTAACTATTCTTATTTTTTTCTCTTTGTATCTTCACCTGTAATGTTTTTTTTCAAATGCTAACATAGAAGGAGTCAGAGGAGGGAAGCTGGGCTCAGGTAATGTACCTCAAACATTTTGCTATTTCCTTTTTATTTTTTTCTTTCTTCTGAAGATAGTAATTTCTTCCTTAAATGTTATGCACTTTCAATTCAATTCAATTCAACTTTATTGTCATTATACTTACACAGGTGCATAGTACAGTGAATGAAGCCGCTGCGTTCATGCCCGTCGCCATTTTATTTTGTAGTATGTTTTGATTTCAAACAGTTGATTTAGTACCCTATTCATGTAATGTCTTTAAAAAACACTGCTTTAAAAAAGTTGAATTTATATGTTAGTTTCTTAAATCGAATATAATACGCCAGTTATGATACACATGTTCAAGGTGTCAGACTTAAATCTGTGAATTGATTACAGTAGTTTTAAATATGCTGATAGTAGTTCCATGGTAATGTGTATGCTATTCTCAGTCCTTTCAATAAAAGTTGCCAGTTCCACTTCACAATCAAATAGATGAGACTGAACTGGAAAACTGTACTTTCATTTCTATGTCAGGAAACACTTTTAGAACCTTTATGCCAATCATCTATCTCTTGCTGGAACTTGATGAGATTGCTACTGAAATACCAATACACTAATGTAGCTTTACATCACTGTGGCATTTTTAGTTAATTTTTTCCCCTTCTTTGTCTTGGAGAGGATTCCAGGGAAAGGTAAGGCAGACCGAAAACGGAAGATTGAGGTGCCCCTGCCTTTATGCCCAAGTCGTGTATGGGATTATACCAAGGTCAGAGGCAAAATAGATAGACAGATAGATATAGAATGCCATTAGTAGTAGTTTTGAATTAGATGTGTTTCATTTTAATGAGTTAGCTCAGTAGAACTGTAGGAAATAGTGTATTCACTGAATGACCAATAGGAGACAATAGTCCCCACCCTTCTCCTGCAGAGAATCTGATGTTATAACTGGAAACTGAATACTATTATGTACCATTCTTTTGCAGACACTAGCCTATGGTGACATGAACCATGAGTGGATAGGCAACGAGTGGCTACCAAGTTTAGGATTACCTCAGTATCGCAGCTACTTCATGGAATGCCTGGTGGATGCCAGAATGCTGGACCATCTAAACAAGAAGGATTTGAGAGTGCATCTTAAAATGGTTGACAGTTTCCACAGGTAGCTCAGTGTTTTCAGACTGTAGTTTTGATTCCTGGTTTTGTTGCTGTCGATTTTCTAGACATTGACGTTTTAATGTTTATTCAATGCTCATCATTTCCGACACCTGAATTGTATTACTGATTTAACAGGACTAGTCTGCAGTATGGGATTATGTGCTTGAAGAGGCTGAACTATGATAGGAAAGAACTGGAAAGAAGAAGAGAGCAGAGTCAGCATGAGATGAAAGGTGCTCTTAGAGTTTAACTTTTTGTGACCTGATATTTTGTTTTTACCTTGTTTTATTTATTTTACAATTCTATTGATTTTCTAATCTATATATACAGTATTATAATAGTGTCCGTTTTTTTAGTTTTTATAATGTCATGCTTACAAAAGAAATCTACAAATTTTATATGCATTACTTGAAGTAACCCTATCAGATTTGGTCTTAGAAACAATACAGTAAGTAGTATAATTAATAGTTAAGAATATCCTTTAGTTATCACCAAATAAACCTCTAATTCTCAAAACGTGCACATCATTTTGAGGTCAGAATAGCTGGCACTCAGTTGATTGCTCATTATTGACTAGGTGTCAGATCTCACATTTCTTAGAAGACATGTACTTAGAAAACTACATATCTTTTCCATTGCTAGTCCATAAACAAGTCTTGACCATAGGCTACAATATCATAAAAACATATAGTGCGCTCATGTTGTTTTTTTGGCTCTTTACCTTCAAAGCCAGTAAATACAGCATAAACCATATAAACTGAATGGTAATTAAAATGAAAATGTTTGACGCCTCATTCACAGATGTTTTAGTGTGGAGCAACGACCGTGTGATCCGCTGGGTACAGAGCATCGGGCTGAGGGATTATGCAAACACTTTGCTTGAGAGTGGCATTCATGGGTCCCTTATAGCTTTGGACGACAATTTCGACTACAGCAGTCTAGCACTGTTACTACAGATCCCAAACCAAAACACTCAGGTAAATGGTTACTACCATTTAGATAGAAAACTTGTAACTGTGGCCATTTTTCATATCTCTGTGCTAATAATATAGGACTGAAAAACTCTTTGTTGTTTTTAATATCTGTGATGGTTAAAAAGATTATTTCTTCTTGTTTGCCTGTAGATTTGAATTAGTCACAAGCATCCTTTCATGCTTGTATCCCTCAGTTTGATACAATCAGTTGCCAACAGGGCAACCATGGTGTCCTTTGACTTTTCAAATTTTAGTTATAATAATCCTGTCAAATCAATTTGATTTTGTTTTTTTTACTGAACACAGTTCAGAATAAAGGCAGAATAAAGCCCAGATAAAATGGCTTGCAGTCAGAAGTTACAAACCCACCATTTTATGGCAGCTCACTAAATTCTTCCTTCCTTCTATGACTGGGGATGCCTGTAATTTTTGCTTAAGACCATCTTAGAAAGGAGGACTTAAATAAACATTTAAACATTAATGTATGATGAGGAACTTGTCAGTTATGACTGGGTCATATTCAGAATGTGATTTTTTTCATATTTATATATTTAGGTTTTTGTATCAAGTACACTAACGTAATTAAGCAGATATGACAAGTAAATTCATTATAACACTTATCACCATCAGGGAGTCTACTATGAAGGTCACAGGCTAGTTGCATGTGTGAACATTGTTGGAAGCAATAATCTCTGTACATCGGTGACACACACTTTGTAAAACTTCATGTCACACAACATTGCTGTGTTATGGGATTCTTTCACAGAGCCTGGATAAGGACATGCCTGTTTGCTTGTCTTAAGAATCCTAGATGTTGTACATTTTCTCAGTTCATCCCACAGCAAATTGAGAAACTGGATTCAATGGGGCTCATCTGAGGATTGAGGTCCCATCCCTTTGGGACCTCTCAAAAAAGCTGTTGTTAAATAAACGGGATGTGCATTGTCCTGTTGCAATGTTGCCCTATCAGGATCTGTCTGCAGAAATGACAGCAAGTGGGGTTCTAGGTTTTCAAATGATTAAACATTTCCACCCCTGGTATAACACTTGGATTCCCCCATCAGCTGGTCTGTTGTACACAACCAGCTATCAACATATTGACAATTTCAGTTGTACTTTAAATTTCACTGTATTATAGGAAACAGCCATCTTAGTGAAGCTCTAATGATGGTTAGTTTAGATTTTAATGGGAGACTATAGTTCTAAAAACTCTGTTCACATGAGCAAACCTATAAAAATGACAAGAAGTTATGTTATGCTAAATAAATGATCCTATGATCACTGATTACTGTGTATTTCAGAAAGCTTTCTGGACTCTCCAGCATTTTAACACTAATATGCAACCACAAACCTTAAAGTTTATTTTGTCCAGATAAGAATGACCATATTTGAGTTTTGTTTATGAGTGCCGAAATCCGCACTTAGTTTACATAAAATCCTGTCTTAAATTAAGTTCCGTTGGGTTCTGAGTATATTATACATATATTCCTGAATTCATGGATTCTTGGAATTAATTCCGATTTTAAATAGCCTACTCCAGATGAAATTGTTTTAAAAAACTTAAGCTCGGTCTTATTCATTTTCCTTTTATCTTGACAATCCAGGCACGACAAATCCTTGAGAGGGAGTACAACAATCTACTGGCTTTAGGGACAGATAGAAGACTTGATGAAGTAAGTATTATTGTATTAATCCTCACAAAATGGTTCAAGTTTAAGTACTGTAGCTGTGTCAGCATGCATTGTCTGTAAAGGAACAAGTAAAGGTTTATTCCATGCTGAAAAACACACACCTGAAGAAGGCTCCACAGCCAAAACGTTGTTTCCTTTCTTCTCTTTTCAGCATGGAATAAATGTTTACTTGTTCCTGAGGGCATTTTAGACCCCTATACTACCTGCAATGATGGATGAATATTATTGTTTTACTGTTTATATCCCCTTGGTCTTGGAGAACTTTTGAAAAGTAATACTGAAGAAATCAAAGTAGAGATGTGGTATCTGGTACATCACAGCACAAATGCACATATTTTATATTTCATTATGCATGCAAATAATGCTAGAAAAACAAGGATATTGCTTTAAGATGTTTATTGTTTTACAGTTAAGCAGTATACTGCCAACCTGGGCTAAGTAATACCTTCATGGTCCATTACACATAGAGATATTGGGCTGCTGTGGAAAAGTTCATTAGGAAATTGTTTTATTTGTCTTTTGGTGCTATTTAGAGGAACAAACTAAGGATTTTTTTAGAGTTGTCTTAAGATTGTATGTATCAAGTCCAAACAAAGTAAAACTAGAACTTTCAGTGTTTCCTTATATACTAGTTTTCTAGGATGGAGTTTAAACATACCCACTTACCTACAATCTACCTAATATATAAGTATACACTGGCACAGGTTTTTATGGTTTTATTTTTCTAAAACAGTGATGCTTTCCTGTTAAAAGCACTACTGATGTCTAGTGACACTGTTTGAAACATATATACACCCATATTTGCATTGTATGTGTTTCATTCAGATAAGTTCCTTAAAGTGTCTTATATACATTAATGATGTATTTATGAGCCCTCCAGATTTAGCATTTTTCACAAGAGCACAATCATATTTTCCTATTTGAAATACTTTTTCCTGAGAAAGTCTGATGGCCCTATACAATCACAGCATTATTGCAATTGAACCATTTAATGTAATATATGTACAGTACAGTTTTTTTCCCATTAATGTAGTAAATTTCTTTATCAAAGGCACCTTTTTATAATACAAGCTAATAAAAATAATAATGTTTATCATCCATATCATCAATAAAAGTACTCAAATTAACAGAATGAAGTGCTTCTTTACATTGTACAACATTCTTAAAGTAAATGAATGGGACAACTTAAAATAATATTAATATGTACTAATTGGAACAAATTCGTACATGAGATCTTTATGAACTACAAATTAAAGTCAGTGGGCACCAGAGAGATGGGCAAGATGAAGGCCAGGATGGGTACAAGGGAGAGAGATTGGGCAAGTGTGACTGGCAGTGCCATCTCTATGATGGAAGGGCAGATATGGTAAATGACAGGAAGCAGTGAGCCATTGATGCAGTGGGTGAGAACTTTTTCCCAGTTTGAAACTCAACAATGAGATTCTCATAGAAAGTTGAGCAAGCAGGGGCAACAGAAATATTGTACATCAGGAAGGGGACAGCAGAAATCTACCATCAGTACATTGTCCAGAAGGTCAAGGTGAAGTGACATAGAATGAAGAAAAGGTAGCTGGTGTGGCTGCATTATTTGAGGAAATCCTGGTTTTTGCTGAAGGCTAGAGAGTCTAGAGAGTGAGAAATAGAATAGGTGGAAACGATGTCTAGTTCAAGACAATTTCACAGCTCTGGTGGAAGACCAGAGAGAAAGTAGAAGGTTACCACATCAAGCTACCCAGTCATGATGTTGAAGCTGATAGTCTGGGTCAATGACATACCAAAAGCTACCAAATGGGCAGATTACTGAATAGCCTCCTTTCATCGCAAACCTTTATAGGTTTAACAGGAAAGATATGAGACTGGAGTTCAGATGAACACTGGTTATATATGACATGAAACCAGAGGACGTTAAAAATAGCAGAGATTTTTATAATCTGCAAGTACAAGAACAACTGACTAGGCTGAAAAAATAAATGTAAATATTGTGATAAATGAAACTGTAAGGCAGAAGGCAGGATGCAACAAAGTTATCTGAGCAAACCATTTAGAGTTTAAAATACAAATTACGCAAAAGGATCAGGAAATGCAACATATTACAGGACACCTAAAGTAAATTGCAGTATAGCCCACCTACACTGAACAGCATAAACGGCCATATTTTCAACCACAAATAGCACTCATAGTATTCATCTAGGTTCTTATATAACCAAAAACCTGCTACTTAGTAACACTCTTTGCAGCACCAGAATTAATCAAATCTAAGATTCAGTAATAATGAGAATGTGCTCTATGGATTGACACAGCTATTTTAGAAACTAAATTTTATTTTTCCTCAGTTGTATATCAAACACAGTGACTCTAACAAAGAAACTATGTAGGAGAGATGTGTATATCACTTCTGACTCTCACCTACAGTGCGATGACAAGAACTTTAGACGAGGACCTTCTTGGAGAAGACAGTTTCCTCCACGGGAAGTCCATGGAATTAGCATGATGCCCGGATCATCTGAAACACTGCCTGCTGGTTTCCGCCTGACCACCACATCAGGACAGTCACGCAAGATGGCATCAGAAGGTGAGGGGAGTTAGCGTTGACATCTTAGTTGTAGCATGCACAGCGGTTCAATTTCAGTATTCAGCTGTAAGTTGTTCTGACTGATCAAGAACCCTTAGTGCTCCGAATCCAATACAAAAAACGTTCACTATAATACTTACAAAAAACAAATAGTACAGAGAAAAAAGAAAACTACCGACTTTACAAGACACATTCTTAACATTGTATGTAGACATCATGCAAACATATAGTAATGCATAAAGCTTACATGGCAATACTGATTTGTGAAACAATTTTTATTCTACAGTGTCACCTGAAAACTGAAACAAAGAAAAGAAAATGATACCAGTTAACATTTCCTTTAGTGAGATCGAAGAGATTATAGTTGACAATTTTGAGTCTGGATTTCAGATTAGCATCTGTACATCGTGCTAGGGCATTCTGACTCTGTTTTTGTTGTTCTGTTTTGGTTTGGTGCTGCATTATAGTTCTCTTTGAGGTGTTGGATGACAGTCCTGAAGACTTGTTAATGGACTGGTGTCAAGGTCAGGTATACCTACACAGTACCAGGGCTGTCTTTCCAGCTCAGTGATCCTCTGACCTCTGCCCCCTTGGTCTCTGCAGAGATTTTTCCGACATCAGCCTTCATATTCTCATCTGTCCTTTTTGTGCCCTGTGAGCTGAGACTGTCTTGTTGAAGTGTCCATAGGAGATCGTTGATGTAAGCTCTTGAAATGGTAATCTCACAAAGAGCTGTTCACAGTAAACGTGGAAAAGGAAAATTTGGGATTTGTGTTTCTTCAAACCTCTCTAAACAACTTAAGGTGGACTACTTGGTCCTAGCTAAGACATGTTTTCAGTGAATCCCTATGTCCTTTAAACTACTGCATTTTATCACTCTCTTGTACCCTTTCTTGTGATTCCCCACAAATAAAGATTAGCTTCAAACCATGATTCATGTTTTAATAACTTCAAAATTGACCCCTCATTCATGGCTCAAAAATTTCAGAATGATCCTTCACTCTCCCTCTCAGAATCTATGACTTCCTCTGGCTGGAGTGAGAACATGGATGACATTTTGCCTAATCATGTTATGTTGTACTGTATATATGTACCCTACCCACATTCAGCTGTCCTTTTCCCAGTTTCCGTCCATGGGGTGTGTCACAGATAACAGTGGATTAAAGCCATTTTGCATTTTGCAGTTGCCTCATCAGCAGTGCAGCGGCTAGACAGTTCAACTGTGCGGACATACTCCTGCTGAGGTGCTAACAGAAAAAAATGGCTCTGAGTTGTAAGTAAAGACTGGGTGTGGGGGGGGGAGGGCTAGTATCATTAAACAGAAGCCAAACAATTTGGAAATTATTCTTCATAAGACATTATACCTAAAGCTAAACAATTGCAAATATACAGTTCATAAACCGTTATCCAAAATGGAAGATGGGGGGGTTAATAAGTCAATTAATAACATTTTCTGGTACATATGTTCTATTTTATTTTAAATTAAATTAAATTTTTTAATATACTATTAAATTCAGAAATTAGAGTAAAAACAACATACAGTAGATATTTGCAAATAAATAATTAAAAAATCTAAAAAATGTAGTTTGCCGTCATGTGCATATGAAGAAAGTGCTGGAAACTGGAGTGTATTTTGACACCTTTAGAGGCCTTGGCAGTCCTTACAGAAAGTACTATACATGGTTCTTCTTTTGCAACAATGAATTTAGATAAATTTCTAAAGCCAAAGACAGTGGAAGCGTTAGTTGTTTTGCAATTGCAGTATGTAAAGTTTACTTTTAATGTTTTAAAATATGATTAAAAAAAGTGATTCTGCTTTGAATAATCATGCTTTGTGTTTTCTACATTCATGTTATTAAGTTGAAAACACTTGACACTTGTATACGTACAGGAAGTGAAAATACCACTACGGTGTCACTTAATACGGAGCTGGGCCACTATGTCTGGCCAGTATCTGATGTAGCATTTTGCAGGAGGAATACAACAGGATTCTTCCATGATGAAGTCAATAATCTCATCCCTGGTTGACTAAGGTGGCAAACACAAACTCAGGTGTCATTTCAAAATATAATTGACATTGACAGTTTAGCCAGAAATGTTCTATTCAAATTAATATTCCACTTTCTACAGTGGTTTCCCTTGCTAGAAAATGTAGGTTCCCCTAAGATTAAAAAAAAAGATACATCTTCATGCTCCAGTAAGCCCTAAGGTATTGGGAAAATGGTTCTGGTAAGTGACATGATCACGTGCTGCATCTGAACCACAGCAAATGACATATAAAGGAAAACAAACTGGTTTGAGGTTGAAAGATGTATCAGTCGATCAGTTTGTTTCAATGAAAATTCAGGGAGTATTTTCAGTATGAAACAGATGAAAACTGTTTAGAAAAAATAATTATTATTTTTTTGCACTGCAGTTTAGTTACTAGATAGGAACATTTTTAGCCTTAATGGTGAAATATGGAATGTCAAAAATAAGGAAATCTACAAACAGTGCACAGTTTTTTGTGTGGGTTACCATTCTGTGGAAATTGCAATAAAAAGCAGGGATTCAATTTTCTATGAGCCCTGCCTGTAAGCCAAAAACATGTCTGTTTTTTTTTTCTGACAGCTTATATCAGTGCATTTCCAAAATGTTACAGTATGAGCAAAATGAATGTAATCTTTTTTAATCTCAGGTCCCAAGGCATGTTACTCACCACACACAGCTGCCAGTGGCTGGTGAGAACAATGAAGCTGATGCAATGCAAAGAACTGAGGGGATAGAAATCATGCCTATAGGTCGTGGAATTTTAAAGCTCCGTTTCTCAAGGGATGAAAGAGTCCCCCAGCACCTTACATTTTCCTTCAAATGACATCTTTGGTTTGCTCAAAGAAAAAGAAAAACTAATCAGATTTAATTCTATACGTAGATGTACTTAAGCACAATGAATGAGTATTGGAGCCAACTGAACGTGTTTTATTTTTAACACCTCTCAATGTATTGACTAGTTTCAGGGTTTGTATAAATCAGTGGTTTCCAATCCTAGTACCGGAGAACCGATGTCTGGTCATTTATTCTTCAACTGAGCTCTGAATTGAAAAGGCTACTTTATCCCTTTAATTGAATTTCCTGCTTAATTAGACATCTTTAATCCATTTGTGAACTTAGCCATTTATTACATTGCTGCATGTACGTTATGGTGAAGACATTTGCTAGTTAAGTAAGTCCTGTCTTGTATCTGTCTAACAGCTCTTAAAAGGTGACCAATACTGATGTCTGGATTGGAATAACATTGTTCCATTGTTCCACTATTCCATTGTTTTGGTGTTTGTTAGCAAACAACATATACTGTAATTCCTCTCCATAAAAGACATTGTATCTTTTCTAGATCCCAATTTAGCAAAACCTATTCTTTGTCTAAAATAGGATCTTCTTTTATTTTTACCCTGCAGTAAAGTACAGAACTGAAATGTGAGTTGAATAGACTATGGAGTTAGTGATCAGCTGTAAACTATGCTGGAGGGATTGATAAGGGGAAACATCATGCAACTGAGATATTAGGTTAAGAACAACATACCCTTGTTTGTAATTAGCAAATATTTCATGTGTTTAACTGCCAATCAAATTTTGGGAAAAACAGACTGAAAAGGAGGTTAAGTGACAAACATTCTGATAACTTATCATTGGGAAGACTAACTAAAAGAGCTCATTACCTTTATAGATAAGAAACCTCTGGAAAAGAATTAGCCAGTTTTTAAATCCAAAACCTTATTTTTCTATGGTAGGTTTCTCCATGTCAGTGGTGTCTGGATCCTTCTCTTCTGCTCGATGAGGCTCCTTGAAGTCTCCCTACTTTGAAGATCGTCATCTGAAAAAAACTAGATGCACTGCCAGGAAACACTTAAAAAATAAACTAGGGCCATCTACAGGACAAAAAGTTAAACTGTCCTTTCAGCAGTTAATAGCCAAGTCCATGTAACTGGGCACCAACATACTGTAAGGTGCTACAAAGATACTTACAGACCTGTCATATTGTTGCAGTTTCTACCGTTTTCTTGTAACATACTAGTTGATATTATGTACTGTGTATGTATTTCTTTACAGGAAATATGTAGGGTCTTTGTAAATGAATATAAATATGGCAGTTTTTATATATATAAATTATATATACATGGGGTTTGTGAGAATACCCTGATGTCATTTCCATGTTTAAAGATGCTGCTGTTTGTACCTTTTTTTCATTAAACCATTTTTACAAGTCATATTTTTCATAGTGGTCAGGTTTCCAAATTTAGCAGTGATAGCACCTTGAAGAAAAATAGCTTTTAAAGCTGGTTTGATACCAGTCATAGCACTGCATTATCTTCAGCTGTGAAACCTGCCTCCATGTAGTGTACAGTCCTGTGAGTTGTTGCTAACTTTAACCAGAAGGAAACAAATCTTTACTGGAAACTAGGATTTCCAGGAAACACACAGCAAAGCACTGTGATTTTTAGTCCCTCCATCTAGCAATGTACACTTAATATTTGCACCTTTAGCTATGGACCAAGATATTTTTTTTTCTGAAGCACTTGATGGAATTTCATTTTTTAACTGTAAGATTCAGTAGATTGATACAGGACTTTTTCATTAATGTTTCACTATGTTACAATTAAATAAAAGGCTAAATAAAATAGGATCACCGTTACCCTTTGAATCTTCATGCTTTCAGCTGAGCTGTCTTTTTTTCTGTCAACTTCTACTGCTGAAATCACTTTATCGAATGAAATAACTGAAAGACAGAGCTAAACTTGTAGTGTGTACAGAATATATCAAATGTAATAGTCAAGAGGAATTTAAAGAAAAAAAAAACTATTGCTTGTTGTGACTTTATTTAGTGTTGCTATGACTGTTTACTCTGTTTCTGTATGAGTTTTCAGAGTGATCTTTTGGAATCTTTCCTTTCCATAGTTGCTAACTCATTGCTGCTTTATCTTAGCAAAACACCTGTCTTTTAGTTATTTCTACAAGTAGTTTGTTCTTGATTTTTTGTCAATGTTTATTTTTTCTTTGCACGTACAGAAAATCTTATTTGTTTTACTTTGTGTCCATTTTTATTTATTATTGACTGTTTTTCGGTCAAAAATAAATGGTGATCTAACAAATTTACATTGTCAATAAAATACTGTCAAATAGTGTCAACTGTACTTTTTTTCTGCACAATCCAGCAGTTATTTTCCTCAAAGTACATTATATGTGAATTACATTACACATCAGAAGATAAAGCAGTTATGGACTACCTTCACCACAGATATAGAAACAAAACTACAGTGATTTAGGAATAAAATACAATTTAAGGAGGATCTTCCTGGAAAATGTGAAACATTTAAACATTTATGTGAAATTCATTAAGATGTTTGGACTTTTTTCGATAGATGTATCACTTCTTTAATCACCCTATCTGTCAGCAAAATATATAATGTACAATCTGAATTAGTGGCATGTCTACTTAAGAAGGATATAAATCAAATATATAAAATAAATTCGCATAGTATGTAAGGTATTTTTCTGTTTATTTTTTCAAATTAGGGTTTTTTTCTGGTACACTGTATGTTAACTATTGTCTTTGTTAGTGTACAGCATACAGTATCTCAAGAGAAATCTGTCAAGGGAAATTGATTTTTTATGCTTCGCTAAGTAATTATCCTTGCAGCACTTGCTGAGAATTCCAAATCCCTTATGCTAGTTCAATTTTGGTGTGAAGTTAACTAAAAAAATGAGTAGCTTAGAGGCAGTAATTCAAAATAAAACAAAGTTCCTATACAAAATCTGATTTACAGTCCTTCCCCTGATGATTATTTAAAAACTGATTAAAGGCCACTTATTTTCCACATGCAGGACGCACAGCAGTATAGCTATTGTACAAAGTTAAATTGTAACAGCTACATGTATATCTAAATATTTTGCATACTAGATGAGTCTGAATGTCTTCTGTTAATGTCATTTTCCATCAATTTGATCTTTATTGATATTTCACTTCAATGGAAAACATTTTCATCAGAAAAGGTAACATGAAAAGCACAAAAACAAACAATAAAAACCTGTGAGGCAAGGTTAGAACAAAATACCTTTTTGTATCACTGATTTTAAATTCCACTTGCTGACAGATCTATCATAAAACATTAAACATTTATGATGCCCTGCAACATCGCTTTGATGTGTGGTTAGCTCAAATTCACAGTAAGAGATTCACACTGCATTAATGAAGCACTCTTTAAATATCTGGAGTAGTGGTTTCTATTAGTGGCATGTCTACTTAAGAAGGAAATAAACTTATCTTTGCAACATTTGTAGGAGTAGATAACAACATACTGTATGTGTCATTTTCATCAACAGAATTATGTGGTTATATTCTAATGTGTATACACATTTTCACAGCATTAAAATGTTTTCTGTTTACTAATTTATATGATGATTATTTCTTTTTTACAAAAAGTGTGCAAACAGGTTTAAGTGACTGCATTTCAATCATCTGTAGACTTACATCAGTTTACAGTGATCTAAGCGTGTGTGTGTGTTACCCACACAGGCTTGGACACTTTCAATTATTTTATATAATAGGTTTTTATAAAGACGGCACCTGGAGAGTACAGGGACAACTGTATGAGTCCATCAACAGTACAAAAAGAATGTAAGTGTTTTCTTAACTATTGTGCTTTCTTACCACATGATTACAGTCATAATACAACACAAACAGCAATTTTTACTTGGTCCTACACTTGATACTTTTGGACATTTACATTTCTTCTGTAAATAATATACTACAACAATCTTTTCAAAGTTAATTAAGCTAGCTCTGCAGTCCATTTAAATTAAACATGTTTTAATCAACTACTTTTTCTGTGTTAATTGTAAAATTAAAGATGCTTGGAATTACTTAATGTACTCCAGTATTACATATACATTTCTAAAATAGAGGACAGGGTTCATTAAACTGTCATTTCTGAAAAATAATTTACCTATCTTAATGAGCAGTTTTATTATCTATCATTATCTTTAAATGTGAAGGTCTTATTAAATTTCAAAAACTCATGTTTTAGATAATCATGTTAAAATAAGCAAACCAATATAACCCTTCTAGATAATAATGCTGGTGTTTTATTACATTATTTTGTGCTCAGCAAAAATATGTCAAAAGCTGCCTAGCCTAAAAGTATGTAGATGAGCAGAAGAACATGCTATACCACATTAATAAACATAACATTCTTGTTTTGTAATATAACAAATTGTACACAAAAATTGTACTCAAAATGAGTCTATGGTAATTTCTCATACAAAAAAGAAAATTTTGATTTCAGAATCTACACAAGTGTTTTCTCGAAGCACTCACCAACTGCAAAGCTTTCTGATATACAGGTGTTCAGATACTGTATACAGATATAACTTTCAGAGATTCTTTTTAAGGATGTCTTCAATTTCCTTGAACACAACAGGGTCTTCAATGGTAGGAGATATCTGAGAAAACAAAAACAAAAAAATCTAACCTTTATTTTGCAGATCCCCATATTTATTACATCACAAACTAAAGCCAGATTAATTTTTAAATATACTTAAAAAGTCACATATAGTAAAGCCAAATAAAAAAAAATGAATGTGTGATCTTTCATATTCTTTTAAGACTGGTTTCATCAGATATACAGTTCAGTTACTCCTCTGCCATTAAAAATCCATTACAATGGTCTTAGTGAATAATTTCCATAGTTTAAATCACATACAAATAGGTAAAGACTGTAAAATATTCATAAAATGTCTAAAGATAAGTAATTACAGAGTTGGATAAATAAGAAGCATCATACACTAATGCATATTGTCTACAAGCTCTGAAATTTAAATCAATTTTTTTCAAATATCCTCAAGAAACAAACACAAACAAGGAAGACAGATAAAACTATGAAGGTAACAAGGTCGGTCTTCTTCCGAATTCTAGAAACTCTCAACTACCTTGTAGGCTTTTCTGCTAACAAGTGCCGCAAGAGTGGAACGTGGAATCTTTCCAGAGCGTGTCTTTGGTAACCTGTTCACAAAGACCACCTTCCTGAACGCAGCTACAGGACCGATGCTTTCCCGAACCAGTCTGACTATCTCTTCCACAACGTCTTCTTCTTTTGTCTGCAGATCTAGGACAAATACAGAGAAAAATGGTACTTCTCTCTGCAAAAGATAGTGGTGTTGGAAATGGCAATAGAACCTCTTAAACAACTGCAGAAAATCTTGTTCCACAGTTTCCATACTCTTCATACTCTGCTATATATATTGCATCTCAATATCTAAGGGACGTATAGGTAGTTGTGTTAATGTGCAATATGCATCCAGAATGACAGCATTAGATAAAAAAAAAAACAAAATCTAAAGTGTCTGTTTTAAAAATAAGGGTAATACATTTTGTAATGTATGTGTAACTATATTACATGTATTTCACAGCTCCATCTTATTCTACATATAACATAGAACATTGAATTCATTAATCCTAAAATGTAGTTTAAATCAATAGGACATACTGTATGCTAACTGAAGACCCAGAATGAAAATGTATATTCTGCATGGCATAACTACAGAACTGTAGATTAAAGTATTAACACCCCGTGTCTGCTACTTAGAGATTGTGAAGTGTAAATTACTGTACATTACTTGTATAATAATAGTATATACATATAACTAGCATGAACTACATAGGATATAGTATTTGTGTTAAATAGTGTTCTTGCAGTATATTTCACAGCTTTAATAAGACTGATCAGCTTCACCAGTGTTTCTTCTTCAGACCATGTCAATTGTGAGCTGATGAATTATATAGAAACAGCATTATTATACATAAGTATTCATTTCAAACAAAATAACAAAATTCGGGTGCATAGTACCTGGTGAGCTATACTTCATCAATTCAGTGCAATGGTGTAGTTGTAGGCCTCTCTTATTCACATTACAGAGGTATTAGAGGGAGGGACTATATTTAAAATGCTTTCTGAAGAAAATGACAAATATCCATGGACCTCTTCTTATCGGACGTTGCTCCTGTGTTCCCTCTAATTAGGAAGGAAGTTCATTCAGAGGTGAGTACTGTTGTTGTAGCAGCTGTTCTTCATGGCAGTATAGCTCACTGCTCCAGCTGCAGTGCTGTATACTCAAACACCCAGAAGACTGGGTCTGTTGAGGTCAGCTTCTTTGTGCTGAACACTTTATATGTCACTGACTCTTGGCAGAGTAAAAAGCTTATGCAATCAGAACTAAAGCCCTCAAAGGGATTTAGCTGAAGAAAAAAAGAAAAGATCATTGTATATAGGTATTCTAGGATGTATGTAGTCATATCTGAAATTCTAAAAAGGACACTTCAAGTTCCAATTTCAATACTTTTACTTCCAACATGAAGCCTCATTAAGTAGGGCTTTGTCTGTTTTGCGACAGTGTCACTCCCAATGCAAGAGACATACTGTACAGTAATGTACACACAACATACTGTATACAATCCTTTGTAAAAGCACCTTTGGCAGCAATAACACCTGCAAGTCTTTTTGGATAAGTCTCTAGCAATTTTATAGATGAATTATTTATCCATTGTTCTTTGCAAACTTGTTTAAGCTTTGTCATGTTGGTTGTGGATCAAGGCAATTTTCAGTTCTTAGCATAGAGTTCCAAAGAGATTCAAATCAGGATTCCAGTATAGCTCTAACTGCTCTAAGTTGAATTTGCATTCCAGTTTTAGGTCTTTAGCTGAATGAAGCAAGTTGCCATCTAAGATCTGCCTGTACTGCCTGTACTGCTTCATCATCTTCCCCTCAGTTGACTTGACAGGATTCCCAGTCCCTGATGATAAAGAGCAGATATATAATAATGCTTCCACTACTATGCTTCACTGTATGGTACTCTATGGTACATGTTCCATGAAGTATTTATCTATGCCCAAAAAGACACTTAGTGTCTTTGAAATTATTTAACCTTCTCCTTCGCCTTTTTGTGTTGTTTTGAAAGTTCCTCGGTCTTAATGATGGAATTCTTGCTTTAAATTCACTACCTCATTGAGAGACCTGGCAGAAACAGGTGTTTTTATTCTGAAATCATGTGAATCAATATTCCATAGAGTAGCCATTCAACAAATTATGTGACATGTCAAAGTAATATTATTTACCTGAACTAATTTATGCTTGCCATAGCATAAGAGGTGAATACTTATGCAATCAACGTGTTTTAGGGTTTGATTTTTCTTTGCAATTTTGCTGATATTTAACATCTTCAAGCCATAGAATTGTTTAGTCTGAGCATTCATGTTTGTAATATAAATATAATAAAAATGTGTACATCGTGTTTCATTCAACAAAATAAAATCATTGGAAGGGAAAAAATTTGCCTAGGCAAAGTATACTATATGAGATACAGTATATGCTGTATATACTATATACTGTATATAAAACCTATATTTATTAGAAGACATACCTGAGTCAGCTATGTATGCTTCATTTGGTAAAGGCACAATATTTTAGAAGTATGCACTTCCAAAATTCCAAATTCCAATTTCCAAAAGACATTCTAAAATGTATATTCAAATTTACTAAATACAGAAAATAATTCTATATGTTCATAAACCAACCAAGGGGACACCCAGGAGTTTGTTGATAGATGATCAACAGAACTCTTTTGATTTCTCCAGGAATTTGCACATACTCTTTTAAACTTTTCTAAAATAAACCTAAACGCTGATATGATAATTCAAACTGAACCAAATTGGATTGAGAGGGCACAAACAATGAGGTCATACTACTGAGGGGTAGTAAATATAGAAATATTACCACTTAAGCCATAATCTTGTTATGTTTATCAGTTTATCATAATCAATGGTCATTCAAAGGAGCTCTGTAACCTGAAGTAAAGCATGCAACAAAATTCAGATATATTACAAAGGAACAGGTAAAGGTTTATTCCATGCTGAAAAGAGAAGAAAGGAAACACAATGTTTCGGCTGTGGAGCCTTCTTCAGGTGTGGAAGAAGGCTGTGGAGTCTTCTTCACACCTGAAAAAGGCTCCACAGATGAAATGTTGTGTTTCCTTTCTTCGCTTTTCAGCATATGTTATGACCCCAAGTGTCTAGGGGTAAAGGGATGTAACATTTAGGATAATTTTTGGAAGAAGGTGTGTTCTGGTGAGGGACTAGGAAGCATGAAAACAAGGGTCGGTGCAAAAGTGATGATTTTAAGTTGAATAAGTGACTGGTATGAAGTAAGACACAATAACACACAGGGTAAGGGAACTAGAGTGGTGCCAAAGAAAAGAAAAGAAACAAAGTGGAGCTGGCTAGGAAAGTGAGGGAAAGCTAATCTGACTACAAAAGAAAACCCGAAACACACGGTCTTCGGCGTCTTCAACACCCTAGCTAACCTCTACTGACTACCCAAAACCATACAAGACAAACGGCACTCACTCGTACTAAACTAGTGTGACTAATACAAGAATCAACTACGTGTGTGAAAAATGTACCCAACAACCTAAACTAACTCTATGCACAGAAGTTCACACAAATACACAAGTGAACTACGAATACAAACAAAAGTAGACAAGTAACAGGGTACAAAACAACACAGAGGTTGATACAATAACACGTTTGGGCAAGGTAATGGCAAAATAAGTATAACCTAAACAAACGAAAGTACAAAGAGACTAACAGAAACCAACAAAACAACAAAGCCGAAGCTATATGAAAACAAACACACACACATAAAGTAAAACAACAAACCAACAAAGCCGACGCAAAATCAAAAGCGAAACAATAACCAAAGCCAAGCGGGACCAAAGTCAAACAAAAGGCCTCTCCTTCCTGAAAACCTCCATGTTATATACTGAATAAGATGCACTCCGATTCGATTGGGTGAGAAGCTGATCGATAATGATGTCATATGGAAACAGTGGTGTAATGGTGGGCCAATGGGGGAGGGAGAACAATCAAAGTCAGCAGTGTGGAACATAACAACAAAAGCACACATAGACCACACACAGACCACACACTGGGACGTAACAGCATGGAATAAACCTTTACTTGTTCCTTTGCAGCCTTCGCATGCTCACACAGCTACCTACTTGAACTAAGATATATTACCATTCCTTAAAACACACAAGGCAAGGGGTACATGGCCTTTCAAAGAGTCCTCAAGTCCAACTACAGCGCAGTCCACCACAGCAGAGTGTTGTAGGACAGCCTGGAAAATAGGTGCATCAGTAAATTCTCATAACTAACTGATCTTTCATTAAATGATGGAGTACTCTGCAATAACATATCACATAAAATGAAGACAAAATGATGCTAGTACAACTAAAAAAGACCTGTTGTTTTCTTCAGCACTTTACTGGACTTTAAAGAATTTACAGCATGTTTTACTACCATAATTTCCTATTCTGTGTAAATTAGCATTACACTTGTATATCTCTACCTCAGAATAACATCTTTCAACATCGTACACGTTTAAACATGATACATGTACAATTAGTCTCAGAACCTTTTAAATCAAACTCATTAGCCAGGTACAGCAGCTACAGCAGTCTCATTCCCACAACTGAGTTTTTTCAACTCCAAAAATCCACATGCAAATATACTGTAGGTAAAAATGCATTTTCACATTCTAATAGACTTATCGTATTTTCATTTTTTAGCACTTACAGTAAGTCAATCAGCTATATTTCAGGTTAACAGCTCCAGCATCTAAGATTCTTTCTTTCTTACCTCCTCTAGAGCCCCTGTGGATAGTCTGTGGCCAGCAACATTGATTACATCATCAGATCTTGACATGATATACAAGAATCGTTCTTCATCCATGAAGCCAGCATCCATTGTGTCATAGTAACCCTGGTAAAGAGCAAAATCACAACACCCATTTCTGTCACTTTGAGACATTTATTTACTGAGATTGTACTATATTAGGAACAAGTAATAGGTTGATTCCATGCTGAAAAAAAGAAGAAAGAAAACAATGTTTCGGGCGTGGAGCCTTCTTCAGGTGTGAGAAGGCCTGAAGAAGGCCCCACGGCGGAAACGTTGTGTTTTCTTTCTTCTTTTTTTCAGCATGGAATAAACCTATTACTTGTTCCTTTGCAGCCTACTCATGCTGATGCAGATACCCACCTGAACTTGTACGATATTATATTTTCTAAATAATTTAGTATTATTAGTAGTAATTTTGTCTATGCAGTCATCTGCTATGGGTTGTGCTGATGATGTAGAAGCAGTTTCAAAAGAACTTAGTTGTATTATTTCTAAAAACAGTAAAGGCAAAAACTGCTGACACTTGCTTAAAAAGAGACAGATAAAGCTAAAAAGAAAAAAAGAAGAGAGATATCCCTGTATATGTGAACAGTTTTGATGGGGATAGTTAACAAGAGTCACAACTTTTTATAGTGTAAAACCAAGAAAAGATTACACTAGTAAAAGTTTATAAAAGTTAGAGAGAAGAAAACAACTTTTCCCTGCTGCAAATCGAAAAAAGGCACACAAGACCCTACACAGAACAAGCTGAACAAAACTCTTAAGAAAGAGGGCACTGTGCTTTGTTAAACCCAACTTTGTTTCCCCATGGTGTGGATGCTGCCATTGCCCCTGCACTGAACCATTAGCAGTTCCTCTGCCTTTCCGTAATCTAGAGCATAAAACCAAGAATCTAAAGGCATTGAAAATACTGCTAAATATAAATCACTGTAGTCATTCCATGTTCTGCTTCCCAATAATGCATAGTCTAAAACCTACTGTAAGTACATGTGGAAATATAAGAGACAATGTTACCCTGTTTGGCATGAATTTTGCTCAACTAATGTGAAAAGGTTAACTGTATTTTTAACATTAAATAGAGAATTAAAATTCTGTTGTGTAATGGAAAGATTAGCAAAAGTTGTATTTATACACAAAAAAATCCATCACTAGTACTGGATCCTGAGGATTCACACCACTAGATGGTGATCTTTATCCATGAAGCAGCTGACCTACTTTTGAGTCACTGTACAGCCAACAGAAATCCAACTTTTGCATCTTATATGTTTGTGAGTACAGCTGATATGAAACCATAGGCATTGTTCCCCGAAGGAAGGCCAATAGACAACATACATCATTTGTAAACATTAATTGTTATATTTCACAGTTCACGTTCCACTATGAAATAAACAACACATATTTCTAGCCTTTCTCTTTGACATTGCAGTATATTCTAGAGGGAAAGTCAAAGGCAAATGTAGATTTCTGCAAGACTGCGTGTTATCAAGATAGACTCTTTTCTTCTCATGCCAGTTCAAAGCACAAAATCAAATCCCAAAAGAATGGAAGTATAAACCAAGGTTTAATTTATCAGGCACATTCCTCCAGGCATAGACCCAGTCTCGACCAGCTTATGAGAGGTAAGACAAGGATCACTTTATTGTGTTTTTCCCAGCCCCATTGAAACTTGGCACTCACAATAATGATACTGTACTCCATTTTCATTTCCCAACATGGCACATCTTAAGAAATATATTCAGACTAAAATTTGGTGAAAAATACCAGAATTTTCATTAAGATCCACAAAAGTCAGTACTTTTATTGCTTGTCTGTTTCTATAACAACAAAGAAAGCTAGAGGCAGCAGGTCTAATAGCTAATACTAAAAAGTGGCAAATAGCACTACCAGCATTTTCCTCTACAAAATCTGCACAGAAGTGCATATATTTTTTATTTACAATTTTTGCATTTATTAGCTGTGTTCATGCCAGATCCCAAAGGTCCTAAAACAAAAGAGCCTACTACTCCAGCCAGATTAAAGCAGAACTTGAAGGAGGCTGGTATGCAAAACTGTGACTTAGAAAATATTATTTAACTACTGCCTTAACAAATAGAAGGTGGTAACACAACTGTCTATTTTAAGGAATGCTTTGTTTATGCCTTTAGTTTAGGTACTGTAACACTGTATTGTGTTATCGGGATATGTGCATTCCTGAAACAGCTCTCTGTGCATTCTAGCAGCACTGTTCTGAATAGGGTATGAATATACCACTCGTAGGAAACAATGCATTTTGCCGTTTTATTGCAAAGGAAAACATATGTAAGAACCTTTCCTGGTAAACACACACTCTCTGCAGTTATTGAAAGAGCAGTGACAATAGTGTAGAGAAGAACTGGCCAACTTACAGGGAACCTTGTGAAGTAGAGTTGTACAAACAGGTCATCATTCTGCCAGAGAGTGGATGCTGATCCTGGAGGCAAAGGAAGCCTATATAACAAGATTTGAGAAATTATTATTATTATTATTATTATTA